CCCCCCCCCCCCCCCGTTCCTCCGTTGAAGAGTGGGCGTGTACAGACGAAACGGTAAAATGTGAGGTAGCAGTTGCAGGCTGCAAACTCATTACCATGTAGGACGGTGGTTCGTTCAGGTGGTGGTGTACAGCAACAACAGAAACGAACGATAGATGCAGCTTCGGAGTCGGCAGAAGCGTGCGGTCATCATGCTCCTTACACACGTCTCTGAAACTGTATTATAGTTGTTGAACATCGCGTCGAAGTTGGGCACACACATGTATGCATGTGAACCTGTATGTGTGTAACTATGGCTTGTACGCGATAGCCGTGAGACTACATCAACAGCAGTAGTAATATGTTTCGTACACACGCACCGTCGTTCCCCGCAAGACTCCGAAGAGAGGGAGGCCGAACGGCGCTATTTGCGGAGCCAGCCGCGCGCGTGACGTCATCGTGTCAATTTGAGAGTAGGCCTAGTTCCGCCGCTTCGCCGTGAGGGGCCGCTGCGAGGCCGCAGGGCGCGAGTTGAGCCTGAGCTCAAAATACCTACCTCTATGCGTATGGCATCCGGGCCAAGAAACCCCTCCGTGGGCTCCAACGTTCCGCACTTAACCCCCAACCCCCCTCAACGAGAATACTCCCCCCCCCCCCTCCGCCCCCGCCGAACCAACCCCTACCTCACCGCCTTCCACTACTTTCCTTTCCCTCCCGTCTTGGTTGCTCCCCCCTCTCCTTGGTTGCTGCCCGAACGCTATGTATCGTATCTCGTTTCGCACGGACGAACGGTGACGGCGGTGCAGGCGAGTGCGGCAGCAGAGGTTCGCGGGGAGGGTAAGCTGGGGTATGTCTACGGCCGGCCGCTGTCGGACTTGGAGGAGCCGCCACCGCTGCTGCTGGAGTGCATAGGGTAAGTGGAGCGCGCGTGAGCGTACAGTGCGGCGTATGGCGTTTTTGTGGTCCTCCGGGGGGGGGGGGGAGTCCGTTCGACCAATCAAAGTTAAAGTTGCGAAAGAAGGTTTTGCATGTGGGGGACGGCGGCAAGAAAAATCTCGCGTCCCCACGCTGGAACCTCCGTTCTGTTGCTCTTCCCCCCTCGGTTGTTTTTGTTGTGTTCCATCTGTGTTGCCCCTTTTGGTTAGTTGTTCTCGTCGTGTTGTTGAGTTGCTCCCCCCCCCCCCCTGGGTGGGCCTTTTTGGTT